TTCCTGGATATAAAATTCATTTTTCCCCCCTGGCCAATTTTTGAGGATTTTCTCATTATCATCGATTTTAAGCCCTCTGATGGCCAAGGTATCTTTTCCACTGTGGAAACATCCGGTGTTTCCACACTTCTCTTTGGGGCCTTGATGGCGGTGCATCAGGTACTGGCTGGTGCTGGGCTCCGTTTTTCAGTCTTTTCCTCCTAGTTTGTCTGACTGAGTAGATGCTGTGCTGCTAGCCCATTCACCTTGTCTTTGGAGACACTTAATCTGCTCTTAATCCTGAACAGCACGTTTCAAATGCCTGGCATTAAAGTTTGGTCCTTTCCGGCCTTGCTTTGAAGAGGAAGCTGTCGGTGGGACAAGCTCCGTGTGCTTCTTCTGTTCCTGCTGAGGTAACCTTCTGCCCTCTTCCCGAGTACCTGCATCTCAGGGGGCTTCCTGTACAGTGACCACTCACAAGCTGCAGCTCCTCATCCTCATCCTCTTTTGCAGAACCCTGGAGCCTCAGCTGCAGTGTCCCCAGGTGGCTCAGGCCAGGGGACACAGGCAGATTCCTATCACTTCACTTCATCTGGACTTGGGACACACCTCATGTGACTGAGTGACTCCACAGCCAAGCAGATGGTCTGCTTTGTCAGTGGCTTCCTGTGCCCGAGTGGCTGGTCAGGCCCTTGGCACACCCAACCTGTCACTCTTCTGGGCTGCTCTGCGTCCCCTGCTGGATGTGCTGACCGCTGGAGGTGTTCATTACTGTTCCTCTGGGTTTAACACGTGCTGGGCTCTGTTACAGACAGGTACCTGTGCCCTTGGGGGACCAAGTCTTCCAGGAAGTGGCCCTTGCCCACCAAGAGCCATCTGTCTTTGACGCTGGCATCCTCCTCACTTTCAAGCATGCTTAGCGTATCAATCTCGCCAAATCAACTTCCATAAGGTTACCTTTGCGTGCGATATGCATATTCCCCCTTCCCTCTAGGCAAGCTACTGGTCGTCACGACAGTGAATACAATTACTAAAGTGGTTGGATCAGGCTCATTGGTTTGTCATTCTGTATCTGTGTAATCTGCCCTCTGCTCTTTTCTTGCGTCATGTGGTTTCCCAGAGACATGTAAAAGCCACGTCTGCCTCTGCCTTGTGAGGATGCCTACAGCCCAAGAAAGACCCAGATCCTCAGAGCGACGGAGCCAGCTGGCTACGGTACAGCAAGCGAGGTCGCCACCGTGTGCTCGGCTGCTGGCTTACAGGGCGCTGACTGGAACAGCTAACATGAGTTTGAAAGGAACAAGGTCCTCAGGAGAGCTCCCACCCCGTCCTCACAAGGAGCCACAGGCCTCAGTGAACATGGTCAATCTGCAGGGCAGGTGACCTTGTGCTACAGCCTGGCCTTAGCGCCCTGTGGGGGCAGTGGATGGGGACACGGAGGCCAGGGCTCAAAGGACAATTCTCCCTACATCTTCTCTAATGGTCTGCACAGTTTGCATAAAATAGTATTTAAACAGATTCTACCTTTTTAGTTCTGCTTTCCATCAGGGGCTTACACTTTCAACTCAGCGTATCTACCTCCAAGTGATATTACTCCATTGTGCAGAACCAAATTTCTGCACAGTATTTTTATCACTGCCTGGGGAACTTCTAACACTGCTGGTGACCAGGCCTGCCAGGTTCGCTTATTTAATGTCTCTCGTTGCCGTGTTGTAAGGTGTTTTTAGGTAGAATTCCAGGTTGGCTTAGTCTTTGCTCCTCTGAAGATGTCCTAACTGGCCCGCTGAATTTCTGCTGAGCAGCCAGATGACCCTTTTACCTTTGGTCCTCCGTGGCCAGGTTTTCCCTGGCTGCTTTTGCGATTTTCTGTTGATGGCTTTGACAGTGTGCTCGTAATGTGTCTGGCTGTATTCCTGTTTGTTTCACTCTGCTTAGTGTTTCCTGAGTCCAAGTTTATAGATTGGAAAAGTTCTGGTCATTACTTTGTTGAATGTTTTCTTCCTTCCTGTTATGGAGTAAGTATGGAGTATACCCCATGTGACCCCTTGGCCAAGTGTTGGGCCCAGTGGAGTAAGTGCCACCGGACTTCCGGAGAGGGGTCTGTCTTGTGCCCGGCTCCTCCTCTGGTTCCCATTCTCTCTGCTTCCCGGCTGCCCAGACAAGTGGCTTCCAACCACGACGTCCTCCCTCACCACAGCATAGGGCAGGGACGCGAACCTTTGAGAGATGAACGCCCAGCCTATAACCCCAGACCTACTTATTTATTGCCAAGTGCCAAAACTGCAGTTCAACTTGAATACTGAGGCTTTAGTTTAGAAAAAACAACTCACACATTAACATCTGTGTGTGTGTGTGTGTGTGTGTGTGTGTGTGTGTGTGTGTGTTTAGGGCAGGGTGTACATGGTGTACAGCATCTCACTGCATAGATCAGACTTGTAGTGATTCTCCTCTGTTTACAGCCTCCCAAGTGTTGGGATTACAGGCACGCACCATCATGCCCAGTCTCAGGCCTGGGGATTGAACTCCCGGCTCCTGTGTCTGCCTAAGCAGGTGCTTTAATTCACTGAGCTATTTGGCCGGCCCTAACATCTTTCTCTTAAAAGGAAAACAACTTGTGTGCCATAGTCACCACTCTGGCTGAGGGTGGCGGAGGAGGTGGCTGTGGACCGGAACCTCTGAGACCCAGTGGGCGTCTCATCCCGGACACAGAAAGGGGGCGAAGCTAACCCCTTTCCTGGGCTGCAGTGGCCTGGGTCCATCAGATGCTGTCCATGGGCTCTGTCTCCAACCATCTGCTTCTTCTCACCCGCTCACTTCCTGTTTTCTTTAAGTGCTCCTCCTGCATGGATCTTGCAGGGTGCGACTTGGTGGTGGATGTCAGCACCCTGTGCCTCTTCCTAGCACCCCAACTTTGCCCAATGGACCCTGCTCCAGCAGTGTGAAAGGAGGGCTGGGAATGAAGTGTGGATGGCAGCAGGGAAATTCTCAGCTACCAACTGTGCCACGGAGGTTGTCACCAAGGCCCCAGCGTCAGGAGCGTCCAGAACTTAGCCGTGACCCAATATAAGCTAAGGGCTCTCCAGCCTCAGGGCTCAGCTCCCGGGGACATTGCCAGCTTGCCCATCTGCCTACTGCTCTCATCCCTGGGCCACCTCTACTCTTGAAGAGGGCAAGAAAAGTATTATGGGGATCAAAAAGGCGCAGGCGAGGGACTGCCAGCGCACGAGGAGACAGCAGTCTTCTGGGTGCTTCTTGATCAACAAGGGCAGGAGGGGAAAGGCTCTGGACACCTTGAAGCAAGTGTGACTCTTCGACCTCCTCGCCCTCCTGGCTCTGGGCAGGGCCAGGAACTGAGGGAGGGTGACATGGAGGTCACATGGCAAAGCAGGTGATCTGGCTGGGTGTCCCTGCCTGTCTGCATGTCTCTCTGTGGTGAGCAAGCCCTGGTTGGTTAACTGGTTGCTCACTTTCCCACCACAGTGCCCTCTATTTCTAGCCAACAGCATACAGTGGGGAGGGCGAATTGATGGTTTGGGTTGAAAAAATGTTCCCCAGGGCCAGGGAGATAGCTCAGTAGCTTATTTACCTGCCTGGCAAGTGTGAGATCCTGAGTTTGGTCCCTGGAACAACAATAAAAATGTCCCCCCAAGCCTCTGGTGCTCACAGGCAGGACGCTGGGAGGTGATGGGCCACAGCGCTGCCCTTGCTGCTGCGCTCCTCCATGCGAGTTTGCTGGGTGAGGCCTGGCTAGAGGGCGCTGTCCTGGGTTGTGACAGTAGGGCGCAGCTGTCCCAGCACCATCAATTTTCCCTGCTGTGACATTCTGACTGGGAGACAACTGGACTGAGACCCCTGCCACAGTGAGTCAAAAGGAACCTTTTGTTCTGCTAAGGCACTTGGTCACACGGATGAGCGTGACTGTTTCCCCAGAATGCTCAGATGGGTTCGTGACCGTGCCAGAATACCAGCTGGAGTGGGGGGCCAAAGCTCTGGGAGGGGGTGTGAGCGTCTGCCTGCACCGCCTGCGGGAAGGCGCTGGGCAGACCCCGTGCCATTACCCACCGGCCTCCACCCTGGCTATGCTACTGGCTGGGCCTAGCTTCTGGTCAGAGGGAAGCGTGTCAGGGCACGGGGCTCAGGCAGGCTTTAGGGGTGCGCCGCCGGCCACCTGCATGGCCTGTGCTTCTGCTCCAGGCCTGTTGCGAGGCTGTCCTCAGACCATTTCTTTGCTTCAGAGCCCACACATTTACTCAGTGGCAAAGGCCAAACTCACTTCCTCCTCAGACTGCTCAGCAGCTGCTGCCCTGGAGCCAGTTTATCCTGTCCCAGGATTTCAGGGCATCCATGGGGCCATTGCTCAGCTGTTGCTTTCACCCCCTAAATCTTTCATGGTTGCACAAGACGGGACGCAAGACTCATTTGCTCCGGAGCTGATGCCAAATGGTCAAGGCCTTGTACTTGGAGAAGCCCAGCACTGATTCTGGGAACAGCGGCCTCGCTCACTGGCCGCACCCCCTCTGACCCTCCAGGGCCAGTCCTGCTGCTGGAGATGCCGCACGCCTCCAGACTGCCGAAGGGCTCTGCCAGTGGAGAGATGCCTCCCCCCATCTCCCCATAAACGAGACACACGCCACACTCGCGGGGTCCACACCTTCATGCCATTTATTCTCCTGGAAGCCTGGGCCCTCTGAGCAGATCCCGCCCTCCCCTATGTACATCCACGGCTCTTACCAAGCCGAAGGCTCAGGAGGCACAAACATCCATTCGGTCTGCGTCTCAGAGGTTTCTGAGTGGACATGCACTTCAGTGAAAAACCCTTCATCTGCAGACAGCAGGGAGAGGCGCCCAGCCCCTCCCGCAGAATATCTTAGTTTATTGACCTCCTTCATGGATCGCCTTTAGGCATTCCTGCTTTAAAAATTCATCTTTCTATGCTGGGCGTGGCAGCACACCTCCGTAATCCCAGCACTCAGGTAGGAGGCTGAGGCAGGAGGATCGCTGCAAGCTCAAGGCCAGCCTGCACTACACAGTGAGACCTTGTCTCCAAAAAAAAAAAAAAAAAAAAAAAAAAAAAAAAATCTTTACATGTGCTACAGTTCTAAAATCACCACTGTCCATTCCCCAGGTGCCCTGCATGCCAGGAACCAAACGTGCTGCTGACATGATGCTGTCCTACTGGCGGTAGTGTGGCGCTGGTGACAGAGGGGTTTGGTTTCCCAGGACTGGTTTTCCCAGGCTGTGTCTGGAGAAGTAGGTGATACACATTCTTGACTGGCTCTGGAAGTCCCCCACTGTGGGAAGGCCTGGTACCAATCAATTCACCTCAGAAGAGAAACAAAATTCCCAACAAACCAGGAGTTTCACTGGGAAAGAAACCCCACCTGTGGTCACTGCTGTGCTTTAAGGAGCAGCATGTGACTGTCACAAGACTCGATGAAGGTGGGGATGGGTGCCAGGTGGCTAAGATACCACCCAGCTCGTTGTGCCTCCTCCTGGCTTGAGCTCACAGTGACAGCTGCCTGCCTGCAGTGAGAGAGTGGGCACAGAGAGTCACACATTAAGGGGACCAGAGATGAGGCCATGGAGTCGTGAAATGAGCCGCTGGCCCTAGGTCAGCAAGCAGGACACACATGGGGACTCAGGCCACTCGCTGTCCCCTCCTTCCATCCACTCTCCAGCTCAGGCCGGAGCTTATGCTACAGTGAAGTAGATCTTGTTGTGCTAAAACAGTATCACCAAACTGGTCAAGTTATAAAAAAGAGAGGATTCCAAAAGGATGGAGACCAGAGGCATTTTGGGGCCGGGTGCCCGTGCTGGGTGGGAGAAGAGTTCACCTGCAGGGGACACCGGCTGGGAATGTATGGCAGAGCCCGAGACTGACTGAGAGTCTCCCAGGAAAGGGCCAATAAATAAACATCTCTGACCTCAGCAGGAAAAATGAAGTAGAAAAACAATTTTCTCTTTTTTTAAAAAAAAATGCTGAATGTCTTCTGAAGTACCTAAATGGAGTTATAAAATACTCGTGAGCTGTCGCGCAAATATAGAAATGTTTAAAAACCAAACGGCGGTGCCTCTGTGCCATGGCCCGAGGTGGCAGAGGTTGCACTGGCTCAGAGCGCAGGTGACCTCATGCCTGGGCCAGACAGGGAGGAATGTCAGGAGATGGTGACAGGAACTCAGAACCAGGACGCTCCAGGAGGGGGCAAGGCTGTGCCCGGCACCCACCGGCTCCCTACCCAGAGTCCCACCTGGAGCTGGCTCCCCACGCACTCTGAACATACTCTTCACAGAGAAACATGAACAAGGCCCAGGTCTCCTGGAACGTGGCCTGAAGACCCCAGGCACAGCACGGAGGTCCCTGGGGACCCAGGCCTGGCTGCATGGAGGGCAGCTGCGGGAGGGGTCTGGCCCTTGGGTCCATGAGCTCTAGTCCAGTTTCTTACAAGGCAGCTTGGCCCGCAAGTCCAAGCTCTCGGGACTGAAGTCAGTACAGAAGCCATTGGGGGTTGGTGTGGGGGGTGTCTGGGCACAGCTGTGGAAGGACCGCTGTTCGGGGTACAGGTACTCCTCAGCAAAGTCGGGGTACAGCTCTGTGAATCTCTGGAAGTCAGCTGCAAAGACAAGGACACCCATGGACACCAGGAACTTGAGAGGCATGCCCAGGGCTCAGGGCTCTTTCCCTGGGCGTGTGTGGTGCTCCTGTGGCACCAGAGCGCAAGAACCCTGCTGCCCTACACCTGGGGGACACCATGGACCAGCAGCGTTGGCCCGGCTGTGCTGCGCCGGGAAGACACTGGGGACCTGGTGAGGACACAGCACTGTCCCCGACCCTGGGCACTGGCCCTGTGGTGGACAAGGGCATTGGGCTCCTGAGAACATACACCTAAGAGGTCGATGGGACGCAGCCCTGAGAAAACACTCAGGTTCAGTACCGTGGGAAGGGAGTGGTTTCACTGAGCAGGTGTGAGGGAGCAGCCCCCAACGGGCAGCTGCCCACCCTGCAGCGGGTGTCCATGTAATTAGGAACAAACCGGCAGCAGTCCGTATGATCCTGCTGTGTCCTCCCATCCCAAAATCCCTGCTGCTGCCCAGCTCTGGTGCCCTGCAGCAGAGGATGTTTCCCAGAAGTCTCTGCTCATGCCGTCCTCACCCTGTCCCCCTGCCTGATGGCAGCTGCTGCCTCTCTCCTCTCATGGTATCTGCTCACTCTCTGAGGCAGCAGACAAGTGTTTAAAACACGGCCAGGCCAGGCTTGGAGTCTGCCGAGAGCCATGTGGTACACCAGCCCATCACAATGTCATCAGGGTTACCACAGAGGCAGTTCCCAGGACAGTGCCCCCAGCTCAGGCCCAGGAGCCTGCAGCTGATACCTGGTACCCTCACCTTCCTGGCGGACATACAAAGGCCAGGGCCACAGAGAGCTGAGCTGTGTCATCCTCCACGCAGGGGACCCCAACCTGCCCTGCTGTGGCTCCCTTGCCAACAGCATCTACGCAGGATGGAGCTTGAGATGCTGTTCTGGAACTGAAGAGACCATGGCCCATGTTCCTCACCCACTACCCGGTTTCCAGACCACTTTCCCAGGGTCCCATGTTATATGAGCAGGAGGGGCCCACTAGGCCTGGGCCCCGAGGCCCCCCTTGCATCCTGCTCCACCTACCAAATGAGATTTTCCCCTTCTCCTCTTGATCAATGGCCCGGAACAGGTCGGTGACAGAGAGCTCGGCCACGCCCAAGGCAGCCCTGAGGATGTGGGCAAGGTGGTCCTCCTGGATGGTCCCGTCCTCAGGAGCCCCGTACATCTGCAAGGTACAGCAGCGTCACCCAAGCTGCCCCTGTGGCCCCACCTGTCCTCAGTGCCCTGCTTTCAGAGCTGACCATGCTGCTCAATGTAGCGGGGCTCCCTGATAGGCAGTTATGCTGAGCCCTGATCTCTGGTCATTCCTGGGAACCTCAGGGCAGCTGGCAAACCTGGGCTGAGATGGACACAGGTGACACAAGCAGTGATGAGCACAAACTAGCTCACTCAGGAGTGAAGAGAGTCGCAAGGAAGGGCTCAGAGCACTGCTTGCCCACACAGGTGCTCCAGGAGCCAGTCCATGATCCAGTGCCAAGTGGGTATCATGGTAGGCGAGGAGACGTGCAACTCCAGCGCCACCTGGTGGCCACATAGAGAACCGCGGCACCTCACGCAAAAGTACCTGGAGACAGAGGCCATCACCCTGGCTGCACAGACCTGGGTCTCCTCCCCCAGCTTTCTGGGTCAAAGAAGGCATGCATGTGGCCTCTTGTACTCAGGGAGGGACCCCTGAAGAACAAGATCCTGTCCTTGGAAATGGTGTTCCAGCAAGGGCACAGGCCCTGGTGAGGATACCGGGGAGAAGAAGTTTGGTCTCCCGAGGTGTGGGGCATGTGGCCAGGGCAATGGAATGCCTGCAGCAGAACAGACCTGTGCCCACCCATGGCAGTGATACTGCCAGCCCTCAGGGGAGCACTTGAGGTCCTGTACAGGCAACACCCAGTTCATCCGGCTCCACTCACGTTGAACGCCAGCTGGATGGTGTCCAGGGTCTGGGATGGCCGGCACACAACAGACAGGGCCACCACATACTCCCGCAGGTCCACTTTGCCGCAGCCACCCTGTGGGAGAGACAAGCTTAGCCTCTTACCCACAGTGGGCACTTGGGAATGACTGCAGAGGAAATGGCACAGCTTGGCATCAGCACAGGCACTGCGCCTGACAGCTTGGGGAGTGCACATGAGGGTGATGAAAAGTCACAGTTCTAGTTTTGTTCCATCTTGCTACATTGCACAGGGGGGCCTGAAGCTTGAAGCGATCTTCCTGCCCCGACCTCCACGGATGCTGGGACCTCCACGGCTGTTGGGATGATAGGTATGCACCACCAGGCCTCACTAGAACTCACGTTTCCGTATGCCCAGGATGAGAGTGGGCCTGGGAGAGGGTCCCCTCTACTTTCAAAGCGCTCACATATTTGAAAACCAACAAGACCCGCTCACACTGGAAGCCAGGTGCTTGCCTACCTCGTCGAAGAGTGCGAACATGTCCTCCAGTGTGTCTGAGAGTGGCACCTGCAGGTACGCCGAGAACTCCTCGAGGCCGACCTTCTCTCCCCTCTTCATCTTTGCACTTTCCGAGTATTTCTCCAGGTCTTTTTCCAGTTTTTCTGGTCTCAGCCTAAACAAGATTTTAATAAAATCATAGGAGGCTAAAACAGACTTGCCACATGGAGGACCAGTGAGTAAGGCTTCCCACGGAGAAGCTCGGGGTGCAGAGCCTGACCCGCTCTGTGGACACCTTGGGGTGGCTCTGCATCTGGCATCCATGCAGCAGTCCAGCGCCCAGCACAGGTTCTAAGGGCCTCTACATGGACTGACGTTGATATCTGAAGAATGGAAACAAAATTGATAGCACATTCTTGTCATCTCAGCTACCTGGAGGCCGAGGTAGGCCTGAAAGTTCGAGGCCATCAGTGTGACTCAGGGAGGCCTTGTCACAAGATGAACAATTAAGGGCTGGGATGCAGCGTGTGGGGAGCACTTGTGCGCTTGTTCTCCTGTACCTCAACTTCATATAGTCACAGCAAGCACACTAAGAGCTGGCCCTTCTGTCATCTGCCCTGGATCTGGGGTGAGAGGGCTGGAGGCTGAGGACACTTACCCAAGGCCCCGCACCAGCCTGGCAAACTCCAGCAGGCAGGAGTCAGCGGGCAGGCGCAGCTGTCCCTCAGCCAACGCAAGCTGGCAGTCTTCAAATGTGTAGTCAGTCACAGAAACACCCAGAGCCCTGTGTGAGAGAGAATCTCTGTCAGCTGCCAGTCCCCAGTGCAGGAAGGGAGCCACCAGGGCCAAGGACACCAAGGGAGCCATCTGAATGAGGCCACTGAGGCATGGCCACTGCCCAGGTGCCACAATGCCTCGGGAATGTGAGGTGTTGACCAGAGGTGTCAAAACCTGTGGGCAACCTGTCTCCCACAACTGTGTCTCCAGCTCCACTCAGCTGGCTGTGACCACAATGTCCAAGCAAAGACCCAGCAACCACAGTTGCTGTCCCATCTCGCTGTCTACAGCCCCCACCACCATGCACCCCCAACAATGCAACCACCAATGATATGGCCCTATACTGGGCCCATGGCAGGGTGGGGCTGCCAATGTGAGTCAAACACCTTGAATCTGAATTAAATAGCAGAAAGGCAACGGCCACGTGCATAGGCTAGGATGAGTGCGGACAGCAGGGACAGTACTGGCTCCCTGAGACGGGTAACCCTGTGGCTACAGGAGATACCAGCCCAGCAAGGGCCCCACCCCGGCCTCACTAGCTAGGAGCCAGGTGGGAAGACCAGGGGCGAGCACAGCAACGAGGGCACTGCAGCTAGGCCCACCTGTCCTGCCCATCCTCCTGCAGGGCTCGGGCCCCACTGTCCCTCCCACCACCCAGAGATTCCCAACCGCCTTAGTTTCCTATGCCCAGAACGGGCTAGAGAAGGAGCCTGAGACCCCTGCAACCCCTGCTCTGACTGAGTTGGATCCTCTGCCCAGTGTGGATGGAGGGGCAGACAGAAAAAGGCGCAGAGGGCAGGAGAGAGGCCATCAGGTCCAGAGGGACACAGATTTTCACATAGTTCACACACAGCATCCTGCGGGAAGTCAGCAAGAGTTCTGACTTAAGCCTGTCCACTCCTGATGTCCAGGCTGATCCACCCTTCGTGCTGCACAAGCAAAACTCGCCACCTCATTCCCCGTGAGCACAGAGTGCCCTGTCGTCTGCCAGGCCTCTGGCTGCACCGGAAGGGCGGGGGCACTGACGGCCCCAGGCAGGTGCAGGGCTTGCCAAGTGGAGCAAGGCGCCCCATATTCTGATGCGGAACACCTTGGAGCAGCGTCAGAGAACCGGGGACGTGTGGCGTCAGGCCAGGCTACCCGGACTTGTACCCTCAGACTTGTACCCTCGCTTCTGCAGAAAGCTGGCGACTGGCAGCACAGCGGAACTGTGAGGGGGAACTGCACATGCGCACGCTCGCTCACTCACTCGGCCATGACGCGCCGCACGTTGCTGGCGTACAGCGCGGGGTTCCTCCGCTCCTCCTCAGAAGGGCTGTACACAGGAAGGAACTGCACAAGAAGCAGCAGTTACTCAGTGGTGACCGGACTGCTGAACCCGCATGCATGCACGCTGCATCTGAAAACTCAGCAGCAGCAGCCTGCTGGGCGCCCCCACGGCAGGGTCCAGCTAGAGAGCTGGCATCTGACCTCATGTGGCCGGGCCGTTAGCTGCACGAGCAGCATACTCATGTTCTTACCTCCCAGCCTCAGCTCTGAGCAACCAACCCTCCGCCATCTACTGCAGTTTCGATCTAAAATGACTCCGCCCACAGACAAACATGCTGGAGCCGCACTCGGAGTTTAAGGTCTATGTCCATGTGCTGAGATCCTGATCCTTGTTTTTGTTGCTTTTGAGGCAGGATTTTTCACTATGCAGTTCAGGCTGACCTCAAACTCATGGCGATCCTCCCGCCTCAGCCTCATGAGTGCTGGAATTACAGGTGTCATCTTGCCTAGCTTCTTCTTAACAAAGATGTCCACTGACACAGGAACACCCTGAGATCCCACCTACTCTGTAACTTTAAGGTATGTTTTGAATTCTGTAATTATGACACCCCCTCCTTGTGCCCTAGTGTCCTGTGCAATCGGAAGTATTTCACAGAGCCATTTGGTCTCTTTTGTCTTCGGAGCAAGACACCAGGGCTGAACCAGAACTGCTACCCAAGAGGACAGCACGAATAAGCGAGGGCTCACGTTCCTCCTGGGCTGGGCCAGCACTGCCTCAGAGGCTGACCTATGCAGTGGCGTCTGACTCGGCAGGGCCTCGAGCTCGGCACCCCCTACAACCACGGTCTTCTCTGCAGCAGTAGGCTGGGGTGCAGGCCGGGCCCACCGTGTGCTGCCTTTGCCGAAAGGAGAGGATTCCAACGGAGCTGTGTGCCCTTGTCCCTGCCTTCAGGTGCAGAGCGAGCTTGTCACACTAACTCTTTCTGCAAGGACGGCCCTCTCCTCACCCACTCAGATTTCCACAGCCCCAGGCATGACTGAGTGGAACTCATCCCAGGGGATGCGCCAGGAGCCCGAGGTCTCCGATGGCCAACACGGGGAGGCAGTAGTCGGGGGAGGTAAAAACAGAAGCCAAAACGTATTTATTGTCTGCATGGTAATTTTTAGACCTCAGCAACCAATAGAAAAGGCAGGTCTGGCTTCCTTTTCTGCTACAGTCCTATCCAAACCGTGTCCACTTGCGCAGGGACACTGAACTGCCAACGTGAAAAGGTCAGGAAGCCACGCAGGGGCCCATGAGGTGGAGACAGGCACAGGCGGGGCTCGAGGCGCAGTCTGTGATGCCGCTCAGCACTGTACTGGGCTGGGGTCGGGGCTGATCAGACCCGTGTCCACCACCCTCAGGATGCTGGTCCTGAACACTCCCGACAGCCCCTGCTAACACCATAACTACGCACCTCGATCTCCACCTGACTGTGCCACTGGCACAGTGTGAGCCACAGGATCTCCAGCCTGGGAACACAGAACAGATGTGGGCATCATTAGGAAGCAAGGCCTCCGGGACCTGGGACTGTCACCCGACCCTGCGCCCGCTGCCTGGCCTCCCCTCTGGAGGGCGTGGGGGATGGCGGGCCCATCTCTCAACAGCCTTCTCTTTCTAGTATTTGGCCATCTTGGGTTTGTCCAGCAAGCTGGCCTCTCTCATGCCACCCTCCAGCCAAGGAAACTTGTCCCCTCCAGTCATTCCCCATGTGGGGAGCTTGGATTGCAGCCCTGGTCACGTCACAGCCCAAGCCTGGCTCCTTCGATCCCAACTTAGCAGGAGAGGAAGTGGGAACCACAAGGCCAGGTTCCCAAGCCAGCACTTACTTGCCAGGCTGATCCTGATGCCACCACTTGACCCTGTCGCCCTCACGGCATCTGTGGTACCTGGTGTCCTGCCCTGCCTCCCTCCAAGCGTCTGGGACCCCACCAGCCCTCCCCAAGTCTCTGCCCGGGGAGCACCATTCACAGCTTTACGGAGCCTCGGTCTGGGGGGGGGGGGGAACAGACACTGGCCGGGCCTCCCTCCCAGTGCTGAGCACCTCCTGACATCAGGGCCAACAGGTGCATGGCGCCGTCATGTGTGAAGGACCTCAGCACTTCCCCCTGTCACCGATATGGGGTGTCAGAACCCACCACACTCATGCATATTCTCACAGTAGGCACAAGAAAGCTACGGGAAGGCAGAGTTCACATGTGCTGCTAACAAGGCCCGCAGGGCCATCAGGGGCCCGTGTGTCCACATGCAAGACAGACACAGTATCGGACTTACGCTCCAGGGCCCTGCCACGTCCATGTGATGGTGTCCTGGGGAGAGGATCAGGGTCACCACGCACAGCCGCCCTGCCCTGCCCTCCTGGCCCTCTCGTCCTGTGCCCACCCCTTGCCCTGTGTCACCAGGCCCGAGGATGAGGAGCTCCTAGCTCTGAGGCTGCATTTTCTATGGCCTGCCTGTGTCCCAGTCCCTTTTCCACTTCCCTGTCCAGATGCCCCCACAACTTCACCTGCCACACTGGCCCACCTTCCTGGGTGCACAGGTAGCTGTCCCATCCATATGAAGCCTGCTGTAGGCTCATCCCAGAGCTGGAGTTCCCCAAGGTCACCCTGGAACCCAACTGCTTCTTTTGTTTTCTTAAAGGAAACCTGTACCCTGAGCAGGGGCCTGAGAAAGGCCACAATGCCCCTCGCTCTGTACAAGCCTCTATGCCAGCACCCAGAATGAGATGTCTCATTTTAAAACATCTGTGAGTGTGAGCCAGGCACCAGGCACCGCAATCCCAGAATGTCAGGGCAGCTACCCGGGCAGACAGGCCAGGGCACATGTGTGGGCCCCGTCCTGCTTTTCTGGGCTGTGCTGTGCTATCCACATCTGTCGTGGATGAAGGACACAGCAGGCTGGTGGCACAGGGCACTGAGACTCAGGCAGACCTCACCCACACCTGTCCTCGGAGCCCAACTTACCAGCTTGTTTGGGTATCGAAGCACCACAGGTTGCACAGGGACTCCGGGTATGAATGCACCTGGGGGAGGGTATTTTCTCAGGCCATGGGGCAGGGTGGGCAGGTATCTCAGCCGCATCTCCTGCTGGCTGTGGATAAAGCCAGCCCTCTGCTCAGCCCTTCCTGGTGACACAGGACTGGCACCTGGGCCACCTCTGCAAGATCAGCACAACTGGACCGGCCAGATAGCTCAGTGCATTAAAGTGCCTGCTTAGGCAAAGGCAGGGGCCAGGAGTTTGATCTCTGGCCTGCAGTGCTGGCCTAGTCCCCAAGGTGCACTAGTACAGCAATTGAGGCTGGGTGTGGTGGCACAAGCCCATAATCTCAGTGCTTGGGAGGCTGAAAACAGGAAGATCACTATGAGTCTGATCTATATAGTGAGACCCTGTAGACCCTGTCCAAAATACATTAAAAAAAAAAAAAAAAAAAAAAAAAAAGGATCAGCACAACCATCAGATACCCTTCCCAGTGGGGTGGGACTACCCTGCCCAGGCCTGCTGTCGGCTGGCAGCTACTGTTGGGGAACTGGAAGGCCGTAGCTCAGGCCCAGAATATCCTAGCTCCTGCTGGGACAGTGGCTGCTGTCCCCATCAGTTCCACCTTCCAGGCCGGCTTTCCTCATGGGTGACGGGGCCCAGCAGGTGTCCTGCAAAACCCCGCTTTAGTCACAGCTCTACTTGGAGGCTGTCTTTTCAGTGGGAGAGTGTGGCTATCAGGAGTGCTGGAGGTGATGGCATGGGTGGATGACACAAAGGAGGCAGGGCCACTGGGCCCACATGGGCTAGGGCCTCATCCCCAGGCTCCCGCAGGGCCAGCATCTGCTTTGGGATGGGGACGCTCGAGTTGCTGAAGTCAGCCTGGTCTTAGCTGGTCAGGAAGGGCTGAGCCTGTGCTGGCACCACACCTTTCACGAGTGTCCGTCATGGAGGCCACTTCTGTCCAGCACCAGGACTTCGCGTCTGACAGCCCAGCCTGCCCTGCCCAGGTTCTGCCCCACCCAGGCTATACCAACACTGTAGGCACTGACTTCCTACCAGGTCCAGCAGCAGACGGGGCAGTGGGAACATGCCTTGCATTCAGCGCCCAGGTGGTAGTGGCCTTACAGGGACCCCTACAAAGTGCCATGTCTTCTGGGGGCCACCATGGTGTCCACTGCCCCAGCCCTAGTGACCAACTTGGCTGTGCGCTCTAGTGACATCACCAGCACTCAGTATAATTGGAGAAAAGCTTGCTGAGAACTTCACATGTCTAGCCTGAGAACTTGGGCAGTATGTGAACGGAGCATGCAGGCTGTGCCGGCAGTGGTGTGGACAGCTGTAGGTTCTGGGCTGGCACAGGTGTGTGGTGAGGGCCACCTGAGGGCAGCTCCTCCCACACTCTGGGAACGAGGGCCAAGGCCACACGTCCTACAGCAAATGATTGTACAGTGCAGTGTTTATAGGCCGAACACGGGTACTGATCTCCCTGGACATCATAGGAATGCCACCTGGCTCAAAGGACCAGACCCTTCAAGGAAATTCCACCAGGAAGCCAGCAGGCATCCCAGTCACGCTGGCCTGGGCTCTCTGGGGTGCCCAGGGCAGGAACGCAGGGACCCTGTGCTGTTGAGCACCTGGTTGGCAGGGGGTGGCTCGCCGTACTGCTTGGGCCAGACTATCATTGATGGGGGCAGTTGCTGGCTGTCACCATGTGACGAGTCCTCTCTGGGTGCCCACCACTCATGACTTGCTAGGCACACCTTTGCTGTCTCACATGATGGTCGCTGATCCTTCATTTCTAAATTCCTGGCAAATGAGGGTCAGTAGCTTCAACTCGTAATGCCCAGGACCGCTCCCATTGGAACCTCCAATTAAGCAGGACATTTTCGCAAATGAGGGCGTGGAGGCCAGCCATGGCCTATCCCTGGCACATACCATCCGCTACCCAGGGAGGCCATGTATGACCCATCCCACGGGCTGTGTCCTTTGGGAATGGAGCTGGATGCCCAGCAGCAAGCAGGCTGCTCCTGGCCCTGGGCAAGTAGTCAAAATAGACCATCACAGGTTTCCCAGGAAATGGTCCCAGTGACACCAGCCTGGCTCAAAGGCTGCACCTGGGAAGAGGTCCAGAGAAGGCCAGCTGAGTAGGCCTTGGAGCCGGTCAGCCACAGTCCAAGGTGGGCACAGTGAGCCACACCTGGCTGTACTGGCCTCTGCCTGTGAAGCCCACCACCCCTTTCTGTATCACAATAGGAGAGCACAGGTAGATGGGGCCCAGGCTCCACAAAGCCCAAAGGCAGTGCTATACAGCAGCAGGGGCAGGGTGCAGGCTCAGATGAGGACAGGGACAAGACAGGAAGGAGGAAAAGGCACTTGGAAGGTCCCAGCTGGGCAGCTGTCAGGTGCTGCTCTCCACCTATCTCACAGCAAGGCGGCCACGCAGGGCTTGGGCCAGAGGCCCAGACTCCCGTGTACTGGGTCCTCCAGCCTTGGGTCTGCACCCGGAGTCTTGAGAGGGGCCCACTGCACACAGGAAGTATAGGAGGGCCAGGGCCCAGGCCATGAGGGCCCCTCGAGCTTCTCTACCTCTCGATCAGTAGGCGCAGTCAGAACTTCACCCTCTCACAAACACCATATCCGTATCTCAGACTGACTTCCATAGAGAGAGCTCTAAGATCTCCACCAGAAAAACAGGCAGAGACGTTTCTTGCCCTCCCCTGACGTTCCCTACCCCACCTGCAGGGCTGGGCCAGGCTGGCGCAGCGCGGATCCCAGCCCCCACACACCACTTCCTTCTCCTGGAGGGGAAAATAAAGGAGGAGGATTACATACCTGGCTTGAAGGTAATTAGGCAGGTCCTATTGGTACAAGTTCCTTCTGGGAAAATCATTATCTTCAAACAAGGAGAAAAACCAGCATTAAATGACAGAATTATAACCCCGAATCCACAGTGCCATCTTGCTGAGGTGAGCTCCCAACTCCTGACTGGACTGGGACCATTCAGTCCCACTCCATGGAAGATTGGGGCACACCGCAGGCGTACACACCGACGTACTCTACGGCTCTGAGCATCTGAAACACCCTCCTCCCCCTCCCTTACACACTTACACACACACACACACACACACACACACACAAAGTGTTCTTTCCACCGCGAGCCTGAAAATAGGTTCACTGGGCACCCACCACACAGGTGTGCCGGGGAGTGGGGGTGAGGAGCCCTAACACGCTATCGGCGTGCAGTGCAGACATGCTGAGGCAGCTGCTGCAGTCATTGTGGAAAGGGGCAGGGAGCAGAGGCTGCAGTAGTGAGCTGTGGGCGTCAGGGGACACTGTGCACGCAGCTCTCACGGCTCTGAGCACTCACAGCAGCGGAGCCAAACCTGGCTTCCAGCAGGTGGGAAGTGCAGCCGTGCTGCTGTGTCACTTCCTGTGTCACAGGGGAGGCAGCTGGAGACCCCCGGGGTGGGAGTGGAGGGCTGCGCTTGTGGGGCAGTTTCGGGGTCTGAGGAAGTCACTGCCCCCACGGGCCACAGGGATTAGCCGGCCTGCAGAGTCCTGTGAAATCTCTGCTTCTAGTGATGGCTCTGTTACAAGAAAACCCCAAGTGTGGGCTACATCTAAAGTGAACACAGGCACAGGCACGGGCACGGCATGCACAGGCAGGCCACCTGTGGGCTAGTGGGAACCTGGATTTGGGCCAGCGCCCAGGATGGGAGACCGCAAGCCTCTCTATTGAAAAGAAATGGAACTTGGGCGCCTCTGAGGATTGTTTGCTGCTTTTAACTGTGTGTCCCAAGGCAAAGGTCCCAACACTCAGCACATTCATGAATTTGCACACTTGGACCAAAGACAGTGGCACAAGACACAGTCCAGGGGCCGGGGAGATGGCTCAGTGGAATAATCGCTTCCTGGCAAGCACAAGGACCTGAGTTCAATCCCCGGTTCCGCAAAAAAAAAAAAAAAAAAAAAAGACACAGTCCAGAGAAAGACAACCCGGTTCTCCCCATCTCCAAGTCCACACTGCTTCACAGACCCACAGACAAAGGCAGACGCTCACCTGTGGCCACTTCCCGCCCGACTGCGCCCGCCTCTTGATCTCCTCCACAGTTTTCCTGCGAGAATCCTGGTCGGACCTGGACACGAACACTGGCCGGATGTACCGTATCAGGGCTGCACAGGGTAGAGACAGATGGCACTGGCCCACGGCCCCAACACAGCAGACTGGGGGTGGGGCCCAGGGAAACCTGTATCCTCAGACTGCAGCCAGGCCCGACTGTGAGGAATCAGGAAAACCCAACCCTCTGGAGACTTAGTGGGGTCAGGAGCCCTCCATTCCTGAGAGCTAGCAAACAAACCCTTGTTACAGGAGGGCACAAATGGTGAGTGTTCACAGCACCGGACACTAGGACTGATGTGGAAGGTGAGAGCACTCACTACTGGGTGGAGGGCTAAGGACCCCAACCCCTCAGGTCCCCTAAAGCCAGGCTGAGTCCTGACTCCTGGGACCTATGTGGGACCTCATTTGGAAATGACTTTTGCAGATGATCACATTGAGATGAGCCATCCTAGGTGACAGTGGCCCTAACCCAGTGGCTGGGTCCTTGAGAAAAGGGATGAGATGCTCAAAAAGGAGCACGCATAGTACCCCAAGAGCCCCAGGACAGATGGACAAGGACAGAAGACATTGTCCCTGCCCCACACAGGCCTCTCCTTCTGGCACAGATGTCTCAGCAGCTTGGGCTGGGGGTCACCAGCCCAGGGATGGGCTGGCCCCCCTTACCTCTCATGTTTAGGAAGGGAACCCCATGGAGCCTAGCCCCTAACCCCAAACCTCTGCCATATCCACCCAGGGATCGGGGACCCTGCTGCTGGAAGGCTAGAAGCCACTCTGAGAGCCTGGACCCTGCCAGGCCCCCAGATACACGTGGGGTTTCTCTCCCCACCATGCTCCCGGGTCTCTGCCCCATCCCACAGTTTTCACCTTCTTCTGGGGGTCTCTCCCACCACTCCAGGCTCCCCCCCCCCAACACACACTCAGGGCTCACGTACTTCCCCAGATTGGGATGTCTCTGCTCTCTGCCTTCATTACAATGGAGGACATGGTCATGGTGACAGGGATGGCGTCAAAATAGGACGAGTGTGGAGCCAGTGTGAGGATGGAGGCCTCGCTGGGCAGCGCCTGCCGCCCCTTCACAGCCACACGGTGGAAGCCACCGGCGAACCACATGGCACGCATGATGGCCTTGAGCAGAACGTCCACAAGCCTGCAAGAGAGTGCGGGTCAGGTCAGCCGATGGCAGGAGGGATGGCGGGAGGGAAGACGGGGCTCGTGCCCCACCCTCTCCACAGAAGGGACTTGTCTGTGAGTGATGAGATCACCTGCAGCCACACAGCCACCCTGAGCATCCACACAACCAGCCAGGCACAAAGCCCACGGGGACCCTGCTGGCCAGGACCTGCAGGTGTTCTGCCCAGTGCTGGTGGGCACCACTATGCCGCTGTACAACGCACAAGTGACTGGACTCAGTGCCACAAGTGCTGCTTCTGGGAGAAGTGGGTGGACCCAACAGACAGAGCAGGGCAAGGCAGTCCAGCCCTCACAAAATGCTGGGGCCGTGGGCATTCGAATCTGTGTGTCCTTCCTGTCAGCTTCTGCTGAGCTCCAGCTTGCCACCGCCCAGCCATCGCCGAAGCCACGTGCACAACTGGCCCACGAGGACACGCACCTTGGGAGAGCCCAGCCCCAGGAGCTGCAGGCAAGAGGGCAACCGCCACAGGGCGAATCACGCTGCAGCAAAACAGAAGCCTAAGATTTCCCAGGGGCCTGCACCCCAGCAGACACACGGCCATCAAGAGGGCACTGAGCCCCGGGAGCTGCCCCGACAGGACCTTCGCCGGCTGGGAGGATAAACAGTTGCTGTGGTTACAAGCTACACACGGGGCTGCGCCCGGGGCCGGGGCCAAGGGCTGGCGGCGGCTGCGATCACCCGGGGCCGCGCTTCTGCACGCAGCCCCGCGCTCCCGGATGTGCTCCTCTGCACATCCGGTTTCACAACATGTATAAAAGGAAAAGCCATGCTGCAACCAGGAGGACCCCGAGGAAGCGGAAACAAGGCTGCAGCGGGGGCAGGAGCCAGGCCTGGGGGCGCCCACAGGTGGGAGAACCACCGCGGAACAGGCTGCAGCGCCGGCAGACACCTGCGCGTACCTGGAAGAGGAGCGCCCCTGAGCAGCACAGCTTCTCCTTAGGGGTGTGGAGGTGTGAGGGGACAGCTAGTGACCCTCAGACCCGCTACCAGGGGCCACAGCGTCTCTGCTGAGGATAGGGGATGGTCAGGGATGTCAAAACAGCAGAGGCCAGCAGGACTGAGGACCCAGACAGGAAGGGACACTAAGGGGGTGCAGCTGCCCAAAGGCCGGGGCCGTGTGCACGCTGATGACCAGAAGCCAAGCTTACCTTCACCCTAGTGTGAGAGTCAGGGCACCTGAAATTTCAGGACAACAGAGACTACAGACCCACAGGTGTCACCTCCTGGTGGCACTACTGTGCTGGCCCGAGGGTGCAGGGAGGGGCCCTTCACATTCCCTGAGGCTGAGCCAGTGCCGAGGGCCAGCCCTGGAGGATGGCAACCAGTCAGATCTCTGGTCTGGCTGGGGTGGTCAGTGCCAGCCCCCGATATTCACATTCTGCAAGAAGATGTCCCGATCTTCACATATGAAAGTAATTTAAGATCAGTGCTTTAAATTGTCATCCACTGGAAACCTTGGATTTTTATTTTAGAAATAGCACAATTTAAAAATGATACTAACATCATTCAGCAAAATTCTTCCTTAATAACCTCGATCTACTCAAGGCAGCCACGCCCACACTGTGCTTGGGAACCCAGCCCAGGCGATGCCGGGATTAGCTTTCAGTGCCTGCTCCAATCCCATGACTGTGAGTCCCAGGCTGGTCTCCCAACTCCCAGCTGGTGACAGCTGTGGGTTGTCTTCTGTTTTGGGGGGAACCTGCCTAACACAGAGCCAGACTACCCCGTGATTTCCCAGTGCTGGTGCCAGTGCCCGAGATACCCGAGTGCCTGCAGCTCCACACATGGGGACCAGCACACACAGGTATCACTGTGTATGCTGATGTGCACAAACACTACACGTGAACATGTTCTTACACACCCACGCACACTCACATATTCTCTCACATGCACTGGAGTAGTAGTCTCCGCACACCCAGCCACCTAGGCAGTCATGCCTGTGGCCATAAAAAACCTCAGCATCTTGATGCGTGGAACACGGCACACGCTCGGTAGCTGCCATGGTGACAAGCCAGTGGTGGCCACTTATGGCCTGCAGAAGCCAGCCGGCAGGGCTGAGGTGGGCCTCTCCGGCCCCTGCTCCTGAGAACCTGAACCTTCCTCACACTGCCGGTGGGTCTGGTGCTCTGCCCCAGCACCAGGTCAGCCCTGCTTTCTGGATGTGGTCTGGTTACATCTGATACTAAATCCCTGCTTTAGGGTTAAAAGCTTGTCGGCGGGACCTGGAGGCAAACGTGCCCTTCAGAGGATTCAGAAAACGCAGAAAGGTAAAGGCAGCACTGAAAGTAGTGACAGCCACCCAGCTCTGGTGCCGGCATCCACACCAATGCTGGCCTGGCTGAGCAGCTCAGCACAGGGCCAGTCAGCTCAGGACCACCCATGGTGGCCGGGGTCCCTGCCCTGCAATACCAGGGCCCAGAGCTCTGGGTCCCCGTGAGTTCCTGGGCTCGTTCCTAGAATGACACACAGAGCCAACCAGGACACTAAGCCTGGACACACCTGTGCAGACCATTAGGCTTTGGGGTGGCTTCTAGACTTTGTGACTGATTCACGGTCCAACCCTGAGATTATGGGCCTTAGGTGCTACATGTGCCCTGGGGTGGGCCGCCTGCATACAACAGAAGATCTGGAAAGAAGCTTGCTTTCTGCTGCTCCTCTCTTTTTGCTCTCCCTGTTTTGCTGTTGTCCGCTACCATGAACTGCAACCCTCTTCCATGTGCCACTCTGCCTTGGAGCCAGCCGAGTATGGACTGAAACCTGCACAAACTGAGCTAAATAAACCTTTCCCTCATTAATTTTGGGTGTCAGGTATGAAGCAAAGTAGCTTAGACATGCACGCAGCCCGGCCAGGCTACCTGGTACCAACTCTGCCAAGGTTGCTACCATCTGAGCCACAGCCGTTGTGGGAGCACATGGCCCGTGTCACCAAGAGGCTGCATCAGGGTGGCTGTTCAGGACCCAAGGTCCAGGGGTGGGGCTGGGTAGTCAGCGACTTCAGTCTGAGGCCATGAAGAGCCATCACAGGGACCCAGTGCCGAGACTCACAGCAGGACGGAGACAAGCAGGGACAGCAGACTCCAGAGGAATCCGCAGGAGTCAGGCAGGAGACCCCTGCAGCACAGGCAAGGGGCACAGGCTGGGAGGGAAGCCACAGGTCCTCAGTCAGGGCAGGCACACTTCTGCTGCTGTGTGTTCCCTGCATGTGAGGCCTCCAGGACTACTCACCTCCGCCATAATGCTGGGGGCCGCTCGGGTTCCTTGTCAGCAGGTCCCAGTGAGGCCACAAGCGCCAGGGGCCAGGCCAGCAACATCATGAAGGCAGCGAACAGGAGCCGGATGGGGAACAGTGTCAACGTCATGAAGGCTACCTGCGGGCAGAGATGGTCAGCTGCAACCTGCCACCTGGACCTGGACATACCCAGAGCTCAGCACGCGGGACCGAGCCACGGCCAAGCCTGAGCTGCCTGCACCATGGCCCTCATTTCCCACCCCTGGGCACTGCCACCAGGGACACTGGGGACAGTGTAGTGGAGCTGTCCCTGCCCATGCAGAGCTGCCTTGCCCACTGTGTACCACGGAAGCCCTGCCATGACCACACTCTCCTTTCTTGGGGTTCACCCTCCTGTCCGTGGGGGTCACCTTCCTGCAGTTACAGGAAAGTTGCCTCAGTGCAGAGGCCCTTATGACCCTGTGTACCATGGGAGGTACCTGGTAGGTGACACCCTGGCATCATGAGCTGCCTGTACAAATGGGGATAGGGACAAGTTGGCCTAAGGCATGGACACAGAACACAGGACAATGGTAGTGTTCCCTCAGTGACAATGGCAGGGGCTTTGGCTGAAGGTCTGTGGGCATGGACACCAGGCCAAGGGATACTGAAGACCTGCAGACTGGCCTGCAGGATCCTGCTGTTACAAGTCCCAACACTGCCAAAAGGCACCAAGGAGTCAATTAAGGAGTCACCTGCTCAGACTGGTCTGCAGTTACTTCTCACTGCTGGTGAGAGGGGGCTATGGGACCCGCTCTGGGGATAGGACCAGGACCAGTCACCCCAGACATGAGCCCAGGGACCTGGAGGGACAATTGCTCTGCTGATGACAGTGAATCAGAGCCATTATGGTGACAGCCACCATATCACCATCTCTCCTGGACACACTGCATGTAAACACACACATACAAACACACATGTGCCACCCTCACTATCACCCCGGATGAGCCAGGAAATCTACTGCTAGGAATGACGCTGTAATAGCAGTAGAACAAGGCCTGGCTGTCTCCTGCAGTAGGACTGTCCCCTGTCACAGCCACCTGTGCACATGGCCTGGCCCATACAGACACAAGTAGACATCTGGGTTCTCCAAAACAGTAGACCACATGCTAGCTCATAGAACGTGCTTAAGTAAATACAATAGAACTGAAATTATCCTATGCATATTATTAGACCATTTTGCAAAGGAATTAGAAAACAAAAGCAAAAGAAATCACAAAAACACATGGAAACTAAATAGCACCCTCCTAAAGAATCAATAGGTCACAGATGAAATTAAAGCAGAAATTAGACCGTTCCTACAGTTAAATGATAATGCTGATACAACATACAGAAACTTATGGGACACAACGCAAGCAGTGCTGAGAGGGAAATTTATCAGGAAAACAGAACTTATCAAGAGAGCTCAAATAAACCACCTAATGTTAAACCCCAAACTTTTAGAAAAAGTGCAAGTCAAACCCAAAGCTTGCACAGGGGAGGAACTTATAAAGATCAGTGCAAAAATTAATGCAGTAAAAACAAAGAATCACTGAATCAAAGAGCTGGTTTCTTTTTTTTTTTTGTGGGCTCAGGTTGCCTTCAGCGCAGGTCTGGATTGGCTTGCGTATCTGGGTATCGAACCACAGCACCCTGAGACTGACTGCTTTGTTTAAGCAGGCACTTAAACAACTGAGCTAGTGGGCAGGCCCCCAAAGAGTTGGTTTCTTTTTTTTTTTTTGTGGTACCGGGGATTGAACTCAGGACCCTGCACTTGCCAGGCAAGAACTTCTTCTACCGAGCTATCTCCCCGGCCCAAATATTTTTTGAATCAGACTTTTTTTTTTTTTCCAGAACCGGGGATTGAACGCAGGTCCTTATGCTTGCCAGGGAAGGGCTTATTCTACTGAGCCACCTCACTGACTAGAGTTGGTTTCTTGAGAGACTAAATGAAATTGACAAACCTTTAGCCAGCTTGATCAAGAAGACTTAATAAATCCATACAATTAGAAATAAAAAGGGTGAATCACAACAATCTTGTAGAAATCCAGAATACCTACACAGAAGAAGTGGATAGACTCCTAGATACACATGAATTACCACCGCTGAATGAAGATATAAAAATTCTAAATAATCTTATATCAATGAAACTGAAAATGTAATTAAAAACCTACAGTTAAAAAAAAAATCTACTGTCATGGCTTGGGGTTTCTGTAAGGCAAACAATATTGGACAGGATATTTTTTTTTTGGCAGTACCAGGGATTGAACTCAGGCCCTTGGGCTTGCCAGGGAAGCACTTATTCTACTGAGCTATCTCCCTGGCCCAGGATACATTTTTATAATATTATTTTATAATGAGTCACCCAAGAATCATATACAAGAAGTGCAGGAAATCTATCCACACACCAAATAGTAAAGAATCTAGTGGAGGGCCGAGACCCTAATACCCTGCATGAGTCCAGATGGAAACCTAGAGCTCATAACAATGCTTCCAGCAAGTCTACCCAGAGGCCTACAGCCCACAACAAAGTCCCATGCAGGTCTGCTTTGCAGATCTGTGCTGGAAAAGCTCAAAGGTCGGTGGTGGAGCTGGGAAGTCTATGCCAGCGCGACGAAGGCTCTGTGCTAGCAGGCTGAGGGATCTGAACTGGAGCCAGGAAGCAACACTCAAGGTAAGCACCGGAGCTCCCGCAAAAGTACCACAGCCATCCTCAGCAACAGTGAGGTCCCGAGCTCCTCCAGTCATGAGGAAAGCTGAGTTCCATCAGGAAAGCCAATGTGACAAGCTTCTCTTGAGGGCGCCATCTTCCCCTCCAGAGCCAGGGAGCGATGCTCAGATGAGGACCAGAGCTCCCCCAGAGTTCATCGGGAAAGCCAGCAGGACAAGATCCTCCAGCAGAACAGCCCAAGAGAGCTAGCAGCCCCAAACACCCCTAACAGCTTCTCCAAACAGCATCCCTAACAGCGTTTTAGCAGCTTCTGCTGTTCTGCCTTTATGCTGCTGGCAGCTAATACCAGACTAAATGGACAAAAACTGAAAGCTTTCACTCTAAAATCACAAACAAGACAAGGATGTCCAATACAACCACTTCTCTTCAGTATAGTTGTAGAAACATTATCGAGAGACATTAGATAAGAGAGAGAAAGAAATAAGGCTAGAATAAGAAAAAAGTTAAATTGGGCTGGGGATACGGCTCAGTGGCACAGCACTTGCCTGGCAAGTGTGAGGTTGTGAGTTTGATTCCTGGTATCAAAAAATACAATAAGTAAAAAGTTAAATGATCATTATTTGCAGATGACATGATACTCTTCAGAGAAGACCCCAAAACCCCACCAAAAGACTTGTATATTTAATAACCAAATTCAGTAGGACAGCTGGATACAAAATCAACACTCAAAAATCAATAGTCATGGGGCCGGGGAGATAGGTCAGTAGAATAAGCACTTCCCTGGCAAACACAAGGGCCTGAGTTCAACCCCGGTTCCACAAAAAAATAAATAAATAAATAAATAAATAGTCTTTCTATACATGAATAACAAATTCACTGAGGGAAATATCTTTCACAGTAGCATAAAGAAAAACAAAACACACAGGAATCAAGCTAACAAAGGACGTAAAAAGAAGACAGACGAGGATATCAGAAAACAGAATGATAGCCCTTGTTCTTGGGTAGGAAGAACCACTACAGTAAAAATGGCGTGCCTACAAATGTTGTACAGATTTAATGCAACCCCAATCAAAAGAGCAACAGAATATAACTTATAGAATTAGAGCAAAACAATCCTAAAATTCATTTGGAAGCAGAAGAGACCGAGGATAGCAAAGGCACTTTTGGGCAACAAAGGCAAGGCAGGGGCATCACAAGCCCTGACTTGAAATTATATTACAAAGCTATTGTGATAAAATCAGCATGGTACTGGGGGGAAAAAAGACCTGAGGATCAGTAGAACAGATTAGGAGATGCAGAAACAACTACAAATGCACTCAGCCACCTTATCTTTGACAAAAAGTCCAAACAGGGCCGGGGAGATGGCTCAGTAGGATAAGTGCTTGACTGGAAAACGCAAGGATCTGAGTTCAATCCCTGGTTCCGCCAAAAAAACCAACCAAACAAACAAACAAAACAAAAACAAAAACAAAACAAACAAACAAAAAAAACCCCAAAAAACACAACAACAAAAAGTCCAAACACCTTCACTGGAAGAAAGGTAGCCACGCGTGTGCGCATGTGTGAGAGACAGGATCTCTCTATGTAGTCGAGGCTGGCCTCGGCCTCAGCCTCTGGCTGCCAGGATTACAGCTGTGTGCCACCATGTCCAGCAATAGCCTCTCAATTAATGGTGCTGGAAAAGCTGGCTTTCCACATGCTAAAGACTAGAACTAGACCCACTGCCTCTCACCATGCACTAAACTAAAATCCAAATGGACCACAGTCCTAAATACTGAAACAGAAACGCAATCTGCTGTAAGATAAAATAGGTAAAATTATTGAAGAAACAATATAGGCAGAGACTTTATAAACAAAACCCCAATCGCATAGGAAATATTGCAAATATCAACAACTGGGATCTCATTAAAAAGATTTTGAATAACAAAAGAAACCACCAACACGGTGGAAAAACAACCCACACAGCAGGAAAAAAAAAATTGCCAGCTGTCTTTCAAAGGGCTAACATCTAGAATACATCAAGAGTCTGGCCAGATAGCTCAGTGGATTAAAGTGCCTGCTTAGGCAGACGCAGGGGCGGGCTGAAAGCTCAACCCCAAAAACCGGCCCGCCCACACTGACAAAATGAATGAAAACAGGGGCAGTGACACAGGCAGGAAAACAAAACAAGCGGGAAGCCAAAAAAAGGACAAGCACAAACACACACACACACACACACAGACACACGAAAACATACAGGAAAAACAACAAAAAAAAAAAAAAAGGAAAAAAACAAGGACAGAAAAAAAGTCAAAAGCCCCCAAGTGAAGCCCAAAACCAAAAACAGAGACCCCAAACGAACACAAACACCGCAGAGAAAAGACAAATAGCAAAAAAAAAAAAGAAAAAACACCCAAAATTAAAAATCATGGCAGAGAAGCAAAAGAAAAAGACACTAAAAAAGGACACAA